AGTTTTCTTAATGAGGTATGTTAAACTGCTCTGCTAGTCATTATCATGAAAAGGACAGCACCTCATCTTCACAAGTCTTGAAGTAGGAAAGGGAGGACTTTTTTTAAACTTCTCCTTGGTTAAAAAGAGGAAAGAAAGCTTCCACTTGGGGAGCTTTATGGTATCCTTTGAGTTAAAGTAATTCACTATAGAAAGATTATTGAGCTATTAAATCAAAGCTTGAAAAAGCTACAGAATTTGTCTCTGAATCTCAAGTAATGTTTTAAGAAAGCACTACACAGGAACCTTTAAAATTAATAAAGAGTACTATTTGCTTAAAACAAAACTTTAAAATAACACTCAGAAAATAGAGCATCCACTCTGCAACAGTGGAATGTGAAGGAAGGATTGAACCAAAAAAAGACTAGAACCCAGTGTAGCAAACATTAAATCCTAAACCAACATGTCTGACATTTGGGACATGCTGTTCAGATGTGTGCTTCCAAGGCTACAGTACCCCCACCCAAAAAGCTTCATTTGCAGCCTTCTTGGCCCCTCTCTTGGTCTGGCTTTGCAAACTACCTGCAGCTTTCCTCAGCAGCCATCCTACACTGCTGGTACATAAGTCTTCCTGAGGTCTCCATCCACATCCAATTTGATATTTCTGAGTCATTCTATAACTATTAAGGAAATTACACTCTTTTTTTTTTTTTTTTGTCTTTTTGAGACAGGGTCTCCCTGTAGCCTCACTATGTAGACCAGGCTGGCCTCGAATTCACAAAGATCTGCCTGCCTCTGCCTCCCAAGTGCTAGGATTAAAGGCGTGTGCCACCACGCCAAGCCAGAAATTTCACTCTTAATTCAAGAATTTCCAAAAAGAAACTTGTAGTCCAAGAGCGTTTCACTGACGAAAACTCCCAAATGATTTAAAAAGAAACATTATCTCTTTCAGAAAACACAAATAACCAACTCAAAGGAAAAATAAAAATACCGGCCACATACACACAGCCTTAACAGAATATAAACAAATGGAATTCAGCAATATGCATATTTAAAAATTATATATTATGATACAGGGGAGTATGTCCTGGGAATGCAAAGTTAGTAACATCTGAAAAACCAAGCTATGCATGCTGTCCTTGGTGGCACATATACTAAAAGAAGAAAAACCAAGCAACATATCAACAAGCTAAAAAAAAAAAATCATACAGATTAAGATTTTTGACAAAATACAAAAGCCATTCATGATTAAAAACAACTTCTGGATATGTCATGGCCATTATACCCCTGTAGAATATACACTCAGCAGAGATGGTTACCTGCACAAAACCTGCACAAGACTAGGGATGGGGGGGCACATTGAGAAATGAATAGGCAGAAGATTCATAAGAGTGAAACTAGTCTACATGATACATAATAGTAAATATATGTTTTTATAAATTTATCCAAACTCAGAGGACATACAATACCAAGAGTGAACTTAATTTAAACTATAGACTCAGTATGCATTACTTTTCTCATTGCTGTGATGGTGTGATGCTCCTGACAAGAAGCAACTTAAGAAAAGAATGGAACAGTCCATCATGGCAAGTGTCCTAGTTCCATTCCTGTTGTTGTGATAAAATACCTTAACAAAAAGCAACACAGGGGAGAAAGGGCTTATTTGGTTTACAATCTCAGGTTACAGTCCATGAATGAGGGAAGTCACAGTGGCAGGAGCTTGAGAAAGCTGGTCACATTACATCCACAGTCAAGAGCAAGATGAATGTACCATGCTGCTTGCCTGCCTGCTTATACTTATACTCAGCTAGCTGTCTTCATTCTTACACAGTTCAAGGCCCAGCATAGGGAATGGGACCACCCACATGAGCTGGGTATTCCTATATCAATTATCAAGACAGTCCCTCCCAGATATGCCCACAGCCCAAAATGATAAAGACAATTCACTCAATGAGGCTCTTCCCAGGCGATTCGAAGTTATGGCAAGATGATATTTAAAACTAACCACCACAGTAGAGAAGGCACAGTGACAGAAGTGGCTCAGAGCTATGGCAGTGGGAATATCTGGGCAGATGAGGAAGTGAAGAAAGGGGAATGCCAATGCTCACCTAGCTTGTTTTCTTTCGTTTTTTTCTTTTTTATTAAGTCAAGAACCCTAGCTCATGGTGCCACCCACATTTAAGGTGAGTCTTCCCTCCTCAGATAAACTGCTCAGAAAACACCTTTAAAAACATGCCACCTCAGAGGTGTGTCTACTAGGTAATTCAAAATCCATTCAAGATTAACTATTCAAGGGTGAGATAATATGGCAATACAGGTTCATCAACTATAATGAATTCTGGTTAGAGACAGCAATAGTAGGGAAGATGGTGCATATTTGGGGACAGAGAATGTGGGAAATCTCTGTATGTTCAATCAAATTTTCCACTGTCCTAAAAATTACTTTGAAAAATTAGATAAAACCATCACTGTAGGAGAGACTTATAAAATGGACAGAATCTGACTAAAGACTTTTAATTAACTTTGCAACCAAAAAGCTTAGCTCACTGAGCCATGTGCTCTTGGGACCTAGGCACCTAACTTTGATTCCTCAGAACCTCAATTTGCTGCTCCACCCCAGACACTGAATGAATGTGGGTATGCTTGAGAATTAATCAAAGCACTGAAAAGCAGTACATCTTCACTGAAAACAATGAATACTGAGAAGAATGCTTGACATTGTGTGTGTAAGATGTTTTAGGTCTAGGGATGAAAGGGCAAGATTGTCTGGTTAAGAGTGGATCCAAGCTTGTAGTTCCCCAATTGAAGCTGGAGAAATGATTTTGAGTAAAAGTATGAGTGAGGAAAGACTGAGCAGCACAGTTCTAGGAGACATCTGGAAGAACTGATGCTCTCAAAGTTCTACTCTTAAAAACCAAAGTTAAGAGTCAGGCCGTTTATTCAAGTATAACTAATGTTAGCGTGGTAACACTTCATGCCACAATGAGATATCATTACATTCCTATCAGAAAGGCTAAAATGTTTAAAACAGCAAATGCTAGCTAGGAGAAAGACAAAATTGCATTGCTAACACATGCACTGTTGATGGAAATGGCAAACTGTGTAGAAAACACTATCCAACAACTGCTATCCTGGTCATCTACCACAGAGAAATGAAGATGTATGTTTCATAACAAAAACATGTACATGCACATTTATAGCAGCTTTATTCACAATAGTTCAAACTAGTAACAAACAAAATATTTTCCAAAGGAAGAATTATAAAAATGCAGTGTTTCAAATAGCACTATTGGTGAATACTACTCAGCAACAGAAAAAGTAATAGTTGTTGATATGTGCAACAACCTGGGTGTAACTCCAGAGAAGGGTCCCTTCTAGATCATTAAGTATTACATAATCCCATTTACACAGCATTTCTGAATGACAAAATTACATTCAAAGAGTACATTCAAAGAGTTAAAAGAGAAAGGAGAGGGATAGAAAAAAAATAGCTGTAGGCATATATATAGAAAGTTCTGGGTGTTTATTTAGGGCAGTGCTAGGAAGCAAACCTAAGTCCTTGTACATACTAGGCAAGCACTCTAACACTGAGCTACTGTTTCTCTAACATTGTTCTATACAATTTGACTCTGTCAGCATCATTGCCCTAATTGTGAAAATGTCATATAGTTCTATAAAGTATTTCCATGGGGAAATGGATGAGTACAAGAATCTTTGAATTATTTTTTTAAAAAATATATGTAAGTCTAGGGGCTAGAGAGATGGCTCAGTGGTTAAGAGCACTGCCCGCTCTTGCAGAGGACCCGGGTTCAATTCCCAGCACCCACATGGCAGCTACGAACCATCCTTATCTCCAGTTCCAGGAGAATCCGAACCCCTCTTCTGACCTCCGTGGCATTGCACGACACATACATACATGCAGGCAATACACTCATACACATAAAATAAAAATAATAAATAAAATATTAAAAAATATATATGTAAGTCTATAATTATCTCAGAATAAAAGTTCAGAAAATGAAGGAGAGGATGGAGAGGTGATTCAGCAGTTAAGAGGTATTTGCTGCTTTTCTAAAGGTTCTCAGCACCTACATCAGGTGGTTCACAAGCTCCTGTAGCTCCAGCTCTAGGGGGTCCAATACCCTCTTCAGGCCTCTGCAGGCACACACTCACACATGCACACACACACACACACACACACACACACACACACACGCAAGCACACACACACACAGCATGCAGTACTACTAAGCCAGATCACAGTTATACTGGAATAATCAGTCTGACTCTTAGCATTAGTTTTAAGATCATGCCTGAATTCTGAGAATCATTTGTTCCTTCTGATGTCTCATAGAACTGTGCTCCCAGCCAGGATTCACTCGTACTTTTTTTCACAGTATCTCCAGCATCTACTGTGAAACGACAAGCTTGGATCCACCCTTACCAGAGAATCCGGACTTTTGATCCCTAGGCCTAAAATATCTCATATATACAATGTCAATCATCTTCCTCAATTACTCTCATTGTCTTCAGTGAGGATACAAATACAAATACTTCCACTTCCAGCACTTTAATATGCTAATTCAAGCACATCCACCCATTCATTTACTATCTTGGTTGGAAGGCAAAAAAAAAAAAAAAAAAAAAAAAAAAAAAAAGGGTCCAGAGGAAGCTCAAGGTCAGGTCCTCAGATCCACAGCAAGAGCACACAGCCTCAATGAGCTTGTTTGTATTATAAACAGTAGCCTTCAGTGCAAGGTTGAGTAAAAATCATTAGTCCAGAAATCAGAAATCTGCACACACACACACACACACACACACACACACACACACACACACACACACACACAAAGTAAATCTTTTTTTAAAAACGAATGAAAAATAGTAATATGACCAAAGAGAATTTAATTTCCAAAATCCCAAACAGTACTTTAGAATCTTTAGAATGACTCTTGTGAATATTCTCAATGTACACCATTCTCCATTAGACTCATATATAACTACTAAGAATTTTAGCTTACCTTCCACACTGTCAGAACAGGAAGTGCCAATGCCAGTGTCTCCACTGTCAGAAGTTATACTGTGTCTCCTGATATGGTTATGTCGATGGTTAGATGGAGCAGTTGTGGCCTGCCACAATGATTCATTACCAGGTAACCATGCTGATGAATAATCTGAGCCTATAAGGAAAATATACACAATTAACTCATACGCAATGTCTATAAGAAGGCAAAAGAGTTTTCTACCTTATAAAAAATATACATGGGGCTTGCAAAGTTGGCTCGGTGGTTAAGAGCACTGGCTGCTCTTGCAGAGGACTCAGGTTTGGTTGCAGCACCCACAAGGCAGCTAACAGCTGTCCATAATTCCAGTTACAGGGGATCCAATGCCCTCTTCTGACCTCCACAGGCACTGCACAACACAGTTGCACTTTCATACACGCAGGCAATATACTCATACACACACAAAAAAAATTTTTTTTAAGGTACACAATATTTAAGAGATTATTTTCACCAGGCATGGTGGCACGCGCCTTTAATCTCAGCACTTGGGAGGCAGAGGCAGGCAGATCTCTGTAAGACCAAAGCCAGCCTGGTATCCATAGCAAGTTCTAGGCCAACTATGGCTACAGGAAGACCCTGTCTCAAAAAGATTTTAAAAAAGAGGCTGGAGAGATGGCTCAGCAGTTAGGAGCACTGACTGTTCTTGCAGAGGACCCAGGTTCAATTCACAGCACCCACATGGAAGCTATGAACCATCCTCAACTCCAGTTCCAGGGGAATCCAAAGCCCTCTTCTGACCTCCCCAACACGCAAGCAATACACTCATACACATAAAAATAATAAAATATTTTTTTAAACGTGGTTATTTTGGGGCCAGGCGTGGCCCAGGCCTTTAATCCCACCACTAAGGAGGCAGAGGCAGGTGGATCTCTATGAGTTCAAGCCAGCCTGGTCTACATACTGAGTTCCAGGCCACTGGGACTACAGGGGGACCCCCATCTCAAAAGACCAAAAAAAAAAATTGATTATTTTCACATAAACATCGATTTAATACTAATTCAGCAGCTGCTTCTGGCTGAGGAACTATTTTCCACTTCCAGTTACCAAACCTTTAAACATGTACTTATTAAAAATTTAAACTGCTACTAATTGAAAGTATTAAATCTGGTTGTACAATCACGTTTGTTGCTGCTCTTTTCACAATAGCTAAGAGATGGAAGCTAAGTGCCCCTCAACTGACAAGTGGTTAACAAAAATGTGGTATATTCACACAATGAAGTTCTAACCAGCAGTAAAGAAAGATGAAATAAAGAAATTTGCAGGTAAATGGGTGGATCTAGAAACTGTTATACTAAGTGAAGGTAACACAGACTCAAAAAAACAAGTAACATGTTCTCCCTCCTATGTGGATCCTAGCACAAAATCCTTTTAAATTCTATGTCCTTTTCATAAGATGATGCTGTAGAGCAGTCTCTTCTGCATGAAATAACTACCATCATCACAAGTTCAGCTGTGCCTGATCACTAAACATCATCACAACTGGGCTTGTTGACAGTTATGCTCATTCATTAAAAGAGGGTCAAGCAGGGTCATTGGACCCTCACGGGACTATCCAGCCACTCTTCCCAGCCAACTGTATGTAATTTGTCCCTAATCACACATGGTCTCCTGGATTTGGGGAGGGCTAAAGTATACAGTCTGAGGAAGGCTAGGAAGAGAAGGCATGATCCATGCTGGGTAAAGGCTTTCCAGTGTACATACCCTCAAGTCATACATACACGTCAGCAACCCCTCAGTTATCTCTCTGTGAATAAGCTCAGTAAATTCATTGGTTCCCCAATAAAACTTTAATAAAACAGTGGTTTGACAGTAGAACTTTAAAAGGGAATAAGCACTGCTTAGTATCCCCAGGAAAAGAATTCTTACAACAGATGGAAAATTTGTTAATGTTATTATGTCTCATAAAAGAAAGAAAGAAAGAAAGAAAGAAAGAAAGAAAGAAAGAAAGAAAGAAAGAAAGAAAGAATGAGAATGTAAAAGATGTTAAAAGGATATGGGAATGGAGATATTTCCCAAAATAGACACAAAAAGTGAGAAAGCCTAATAAGCAAGTGATGAAGGTCTGTGTAGGTTTGTTATGATGTATAAAGGATGAGACAAAAATAATACACACATATCTTAAAATTTCTAAGGTCATAGTGTAGTCAACTAGTTTAAGGAACAAAATATACATCTAGTCAAGGTTTATCTAAGAATATTTCGTTTTTTACCCAAGCTTTCTCTACATAGCACATGGTAATTAAAAGTACCAGACTGGGAAGGGCCTGCAGGCCTCTCTCTGACCTGCAGGCTTCTCTCTCCAGGGTAAGTCCATTGGGCCCTCCTCGCCTTGACTCCCCCAGCCTCACTCACCCTCCCATCTCCCCCCCCAGTCTCTCCTCCTAACCTGGGTCCTGTCCCATTCCTTGTCTTGGCACCCCAGAAACCGGGGGAACCACCACTGCTTCCTGATCCTGGGCATCCTGAGCAACTCAGTTCCTTCTGGGGTCCCTCTGCCTCCCTGGGTCTGCACAAACCTCCAGCCTCTTTCCTGAATGCCTGGGCTGACCTTTCCTCTTCCTGGTCCTTTGCATCCAGACCAACCCAGCTCCTCAGTGCAGTCCCCAGGGGCCCTTGGGGCCACCTCATGTCCCCAGCTTCCACTGCATCTCTGGGTGGCCCAGCCACCAGCTGCCCTAGACCAGCATCTTTCCTGGGCCCTGCTCCCATGCCAGTCCAACCCTCAAATTCCTGAGGCCAAAATCTATCCTGGAGGGATCCAGACCTTAGGAGAAAGCCTGAGAGCATCTGATCCTCATCTGACTTGGGCCTCTGTGGGAACTCCTGAGGACAAAAGCAATCTGGCCACTTCAATATAAAATCAAAACAGAGAACTGGAAGCTTAGAGGAACCAGCCTCTCATGCCCAAAAAGTAAACCACAAAGACACATTAAGGTCACAAAAAGAAGCAGACCTAAACTTGAAGGCTTGAGTCCCACACAAGAATCAGAAACTACAAAAGAAATTCACATGTCAAAATTACAGAGAGAAAAATAACATGAAAAACCAAA